TGTTCTCCAGTGGAGATGTGAGGCCTGGGGATGCTGGGCACAGGTACCAAATCCCAAGGTGATGAGCTAAAGGTCAGAACACACCAAGAGCACCTTCCAGGACAGATGGGAGTCATGACCCCGTGGGTCAGTATGGCAGAAAGTACCCCTGTCCTCATGGGGGAGGAACTGCCTGGCCCTGGGAGGGGATCAAAATGGAGGAGGCAGGTCCTAGGGCTCACACGATGTTATCAAAAATGTGCCCCTGATTCCATGTATCTGATGACACTATAAAGTAGAGCTTTGTAGCCTGCTCTGGAGCCGTCTCCAAATATAATCCTCACTGACAAAAGCAATGGAACAGTGTGCCCAGAATGCTGCATTTATATAAAAATGTTTATATAAATAGATATCGCCGGAAAAATATGTTAAAAAAACCCATTAAACAGTGATTGCCTCCAAGTTTTAAAATTTTTTACCATGTTTTTTATTACTTTTTTCAAATACATACACATGCATGTGTGCGTACACATACACGTAATTGTCTAAAAATATTCTCCCTGGAGCCAGGTCAATGATATTCCTGTTCAAGGGGTGGAGGCAATGGGGCTGAGGTTTCCTGACCCAGATCATCTCTCATCCCAGCTTCGTCTCAGGATGCAAGGGTTCCTGCTGCTGAGAAATCAGTGCTGGCCCAGGTGACAAAGCTGCCTACACCTACGGGCTCTTCCCTACCCTCCCGAACATTCTAACACATTTCAGGTCAGAGGTGCGGTTTGCACAGAGGGTGGGGCTCCCTGTGGAGACAGGAGAGGCAGAGGCTGTATGAGTTGGAGTGTGGGAGTGTCCACCTTTGTATGGAGGAGCAAGGCCAGCCTGGGGCTATGGCAGGCTGGGTGTTGGTGCCCTCTGCTCCTCCAGTCTAAGCTCCTTTCCTCATACCCCCATCCCTGCCCCAAGACTCAATACCCCTCAATGTGCTTCTGTATCCATTTGTGTGCCTGTGCCTGCACACAGACCCCCGCAGCTTGGTGGCATGTGTACAACTCTACCTGTGTTTCTATCTGCGTGTGTGTGTGTGTGTGTGTGTGTGCATTTCTCTTTCTGCTGCTTTATTTTCAGGCTGTATTTTTGTGCATCTACATACAAGACGTAGTAAAGCATGGTCATTGGCACGCCAGCCTGCCAGAGGTCAAACCTCAATTACTGTCCCACAGATATTTATCCCGACCTACCCATGAAAGTAGTGTTGCCAGATTTAGTAAATAAAAATACAGGACACCCAGTTAAACTCAAATTTCAGATAAATACATATTTTTAGCATAAGTATATCATGTGAAATATTTGGGACATAACTTACACTACACATTTTTTCCTTGTTTATCTGAAATTCAAATTTAATTGGGTGTCCTGGATTTTAACTGGCAACCCTACATGGGAAGAATATGACTCCTCAGTCCCACTGACGCTGAGCAAAGCCATGTCGTTTGCATTGGCCAGTGGAAGGTGGGTGGAAGTTCCCACGGACAGGTCTGAGCTGAGGATTTCAGAGGGATCACGTGTTTCTTCTTGCCCTGTTGGGCTCTTGCCATCCACCGTGGAAAGAGCAACAGGTACTGAATCTTCAGCACAGGCCCAGGAGAGGCACATGGAACCCACGTAAACCTGATCCACAGCCCAGCTCAGCCAGCCCGTAGACCCGAGCAAGAAATTAATATTCATTGTTGAAAGTCCCTGAGATGTGGGGGCGATGTATTGGTATTGCCACAGCAACACCTAATTTGTATGTTCACTTTATGACTTTGAGCAAGTTACTTAATCTCTCTGCGCTTGGGTTTCCTCATCTATAACCTACCTCACTGAGTAATTTTGAAGGCTAAATTAGTTAGTGCAGACACAGTGCTTACGGACAGGCCCAGCATGCACGAGGGGCTCCCTTAAGTGCCCTGTGTTGTCACACAGGGACATCAGTTTGTGATTTCCACATGCATGCCAGCATGTGAGTCTGTACTCCGGAGCCAATGGTAGGCCAGGTGGCTGGTCACCAGCTGGACCAAGAGGAGGGAGCAGATGCACCCTGTGACCCAAAGGCCTTCATGAAGCCGGGACAGAGGAGGAGAGAACGTCTACTCACCTGTTGGGAGTAACATCCCAGCTGGGGATGCAAAGCCTGCTGATAGGGCATCCTTGCTGCCTGCTGTGGATACAGGCCCTGGGGAGAAAGAGAGGCTCAGTATGGCCAGGCAGGTGGCTCCCTGCCAGAAGGCAGCAGCTTCTCAGCTCAGTCCCCAGACAGGGTCGAGTTTGTCCCATCACATCGCCGGCCACACCCATGGGCTGTCTGAGGCCAGCTGGAATCAGACCAGGAGAAGCAGGACTCACACCACACAGGAAGCCCCTCTTAGGCAGCCTTCACAGCCTTTCCAGTGAGTGTGGGAGATAGGAGCTTCAGGAGCCTGACTGCTTCCTGGGTCCCAGATCTCTCTCTTAGTGGCTGTGTGACCTTAGGCAAATCACTTCGCATCTCTGAGCCTCTTTTTCCTTCTCTAAAAAATTACATGTGCTCAGGCCCACAAAGCCTGTGAAGGTAGCCACATTATCTTTGTTGCTGTCCACACAACTTTTGTAAATGCCTTCCCCTAATCCCATACCTGCCCCCTGAAGACACAAGGTGTCCATGCACATCTCTACGTGTGAGTGTTGGTTTGCATCCATGTTTAAGTACACCTGCATGTGTGTTTGCACTTGTGTCTATGCAGCTGTGTATTTCTGTGTACAAATATACAACTGTGAACCCAGGCGTGTTAGTGTTGCTGTGTATCTATGTGCCCATGCATATAGCTGTGTCTGTAGCGTACGGAGAGGGGCAGTGTGAGGATGAATGTGTTAACACATCTAAAGAGCTTACAATAGTGCCCAGCACATACTAAGGACTCAATGTTCGGTGTGTTTGTCATCCCTCACTGCCTCCTCTCTTAAAAAGCTTTCTGGCAGTTCAGCCAGATGGGAAATTGATATTTTACTCACAATTCTGTCTTGGGGTGCCCATGTGTTCACACACAGACATAAGACACACACACACACATATACACACACCCGCAGAACTGCTGCTGTGGCAGTGGTCATTTCTAGTCCCAGACTCTGCCTCCACCTGCAAATCCAGTTTTCCCTTAAGATGAGGCTCAAAACCCAAAGCACCTCTCAGCCCAGGACATCTCAGAAGATCCGCTGCCCGAGAGGCTGCCTTCATTCTGGGCTCAGCTTGTGCCAGTGACCAAAGTATTGATGATGGCTGATCCTACACCCTTGAGGATTTCCTCATGGCCTGTGGACTTTCTGACATGGAGTCTGTGAGCAGGCCTCCCTGTTCTCCTCCTGCTCCATCTTCCAGGTCCCCAAGAGTGCACATCCTCTCAGAGCCCTCCTTGCTCTCTGCTCCCATGCAGGGGACACTCCTGACATTCCCGTGCTCAGGCTTCTCCCACTTCCGCCCACACCTTCACCTGAAACCACTCACCTGCTGCCCTTTACTCCAAGCCCTACAGCCTGGGGCAGCCTCTCTCTCCCATTATGACCACTGCCCAGTCCCTGCAACGCCAGCCTCTGCCTGAACCTGGACAGAGCAGTCAGACTGATGGGATTGCCTTACCTGTTCCCAGCCCTCTGTGAGTTCCAAGGCCACTAGGCAGGTTGCTAAGTGTCCCTCCTCTGTTTCACCTCCTCCTCTGAACCGCGTGAGCACTCATCTCTGCTTTCTACAGGCAGTTGTGCACCTGCCTGTTTCTATGTGTGTACATCAGACACGCATATATATTGTTTGTGTGCATGTGTGTGTGTGCACAGCATCATCCACAAAGATCTCTGCTGGGAGCATTCTATGTCATCATTTTCGAGGTTCATTGTGCCCTCTCAGAGGGTGGCCAGAGCTATGCTGCCAGACTGCAGAGCCTAAGTTGCGCAGCTGAGCTTCCTTATGGGACTCTTTCCTCTTCCCTCTGCCTCTTTTTCATCATCTTCTCCCTCAGGTATAGCACTGAGCAGTCTTCAGAATGCCCAGCATGGGCCACGCCATCCACCCCTCACAGGAGCCCATCCAGTAGGGACAGCAGAGCACTTAAGCTGGTGGCCCTGGTCCTCCTGGCAGCACCAGGGAGGAAGGTGCCCGTTGCTTTCTACAGCCAACTTTCCCAGCCACCACCATCCCACACCTGCTTGTGCCAGGCTGCCCTAGGTTCTGTGGATGGCAAACAGCTGCCCACCGCTGCTCAGTCCCGGGGCGGATTCTCAGGAGATGGTGCCACACTCATGAGTTAGAAAACACTGCATGACTTCAGCAATATTTCTAGTTATTAGAATTGCAAGTTTGTAAAATCACAGGGAAGGGTAAATAAACATTCACTCTTCTTTTCTTAAGCCGTGGCTTCTTCCCATGCACCCTCCCTTCTTAATTGGGAGCAGAGTTCCTTTATGCCAAGTAGCCCAGGAGCCTCTGAAGCTCCTCAGTGTTGGGGACTTTGTCTTCCACATCTCTGAGTCCTCCCACCACAGAGCTCTGAGTAAATTGATTTGGGACCTCATCTTTATTCCCAGTACTAAGGAGGGAAGAGACTAGGCTAGACCATTCCCCATTTCTCCTCTCTGTCCCCTCAAGGTCTGTGAAGCTCTCTGACCCCATTTCCTTGGAAGATTGAGGCTGAAGAATAATAAAAACCAACATCTGTGTAACAGCTTAAATTTTAAAGAGCCTTTACCCTTCCATGGACTCAATTAATCCTTACAACCATACCAGTAGCTGCTGCTGCTGTAATTATTATGAACCCATTTCACAAGTGAGGAAACCGTGACTCTGAGCAGCTAACCAGCCTAAGGCCTAACTTGGAAGCAGCAGAACCTTTAAAGCCAAGTCTACTGATTTCAAAACCTGCCTGCTATTATCTCAGGCCCCTTGTTCAGCTATCTTGAAGCTGGACAGCATTGTGAGATCACAGAAGCTGGGAGAAGGTAAATTATGCTGTCCTCCCTTACCACCTGGGAGGACCAATGCCTTCCACAGCCAACTTCAGCTGGGCCCATTCAGTGCTTAAACTGTCTCATAGAACCCAGCAGGCCTTACCAGCCAGCGTCCTTCTGCTGCTTCAGTTCAGAAGGGCAGGAACCTCATAGACAGCCCTACGATGCTAAAGACAGAGGACCTTCATGCTCAGAAAATGGTATGTCCAAATCTCACCCACTCCAAAAAGTCAGAAGAAATTAACATAGCAAAGAGATGCTATCCCCACTTAATAAAGCAAACCATTGCAAATTAGTTTTACATGGTGAGCTCTGTGAGGGCATTTTAGAGTGAATTGGCTTATACTAAATGAATGATGCAGTTGTTTCCCCTTTAGAGATGGAGATGCATAGAGCTGATCTCTGGTTTATTCCTGAACTTGTATTATACTCCAAGATTCTTTCTTAGTCACTTTTTTTTTTAGAGACAGGGTTTCGCTATCTTGTCCAGGCTAGCCCTGAACTCCTGAGCTCAGGCAATTCTCCTGTCTCAGCCTCCGGTGTAGGCTGGGGCTCCAGGCACACGCCGCCACACCTGACTAGAACAATGCTCAGCCTATAGTAGGTGTAGGGAGAAAAGGTTTTCAAAATTACTTAAATTAATGAGCAAATAAATACATAGAAATGAGTAAATCATGAGTAGGTGAGTAAATGAATAGTGAATAAGCACACAAAAATGAAAGGGTAGAAGCATATTGGTAAAGGAGTCAGTGAATGAATGAACAGAACATTTCAAGACCTGTGTAAGGACAATAGACTACTAATATGAAACTGGTCCACGACAATAAACTACTAATGTGAAACTAGTCCACTTCAGCTTCCTTCTTAGGTCACCTTTCATCACAACCTCTCACCTCCACAGTGGGGTGTGAGCTTTCCTTCCCTGGGGAGGGGATGGGTACTTGTTCTCTTTAGCAAACTCACACACAAACAAAAAGCTTGCAAACAAAACAGAGAGAGACTTTGCTAAGTTCCTTTAAGATTCAGAAGCTAAGCCTGGTGGGGCAGATTGAAGAGTCTTTATATAGAGAAGAGCCAATCCCCTTTCCCCGTAGGACATAAGCCTTGTGCTGTGTTGAAAGGGAAAGAACAGCATAGGGTTCCTGGGGATGGAGAGGGGGGAAGGGACATAGCAACAGGACAAACCAAGTTGGAAATATTCCCTTCTCTGCTTTCTTACTTCAGGCTGTGCTGGGCCAGGCTGCGGCAGCAACTTGCCAAGGTCCTGGATGCACAAATTTGAGTTCCTGCCCTTCCCCATACAATGACATACAATTCTAGAGAGAAGCCAGTGAGGGGAACAGAAGACAGAAATCTTAGGCATGGAGAGTCTTTCCTGAAAAAATTGAGTTCTACCTAAAGGGACTATTTAAGTTATTGGATTGGGCTAAGGCTTAAACCAGAGTGGACATTTATTTAATTTTTCCCTCCTTCTACCCAGTGGGTGGAAGCTCTTAAGGGATATTAAGTTAAATTGACGAAATAAAGAAACTACATTTTCCCTGCATAAATAAGTTCTGTGAGTAGAATTTCCAGCCCTGCTACAGGTGCTTCACTGTCCCTTTGTGTCTGGCCACTGATTTTCTCCTTCAGCTACGAGCCCAAGAACAAGAATGTGTGCCAAACAACCTTGGTTGATACAAGCTAAGACTGCTTGGGTGTAGTGTAAGTAAGGTGGCCATATACACTCAACCCATGGTATCCTCAGAGGATTGGTTCCAAGGCCACCCTCCCTCCCCTGCCCTGTGGATACCAAAATCTGAGGATGCTCAAGTCCCTGATATAAAATGACATATAAAGATGCTCAACTCTCTGATATAAAATGGTATTTGAGGGCTGGGTGCAGTGGCTTACGCCTGTACTCCCAGCTCTTTGGGAAATGGAAACGGGTGGATCACACGAGTTGGGGAGTTCGAGACCAGCCTGGCCAACATGGTGAAACCCTGTCTCTACTAAAAATACAAAAATTAACCAGGTGTGGTGGCGCACATACCAGTAATCCCAGCTACTTGGGAGGCTGAGGTAGGAGAAACACTTGAACCTAGGAGGCAGAGATTGCAGTGAGCCAAGATCATGCCACTGCACTCCACCCTGGGCAATAAAGTGAGACTCTGTCTCTAATAAAATAAAATGGCATATGAGGATGCTCTAGTCCCTGATACACAATGACATATAAAGATGTTCAAGTCCCTGATATAAAAAGGGATATGAGGATGCTCAAGTCCCTGATATAAAATGGCATAGTATTTGCACGCAGCTTATGCACATGCTTCTGTATCCTTTAATCTCTAGATTACTAACAATGTCTAATAATGTACTATGTAAATAGTTATTATACTATATTATCTTTTATTCGCATTATTTTTTGTTGTTGTATTTTTTTTAATTGTTTCCTTCTTCAAGTATTTTACATCCAAGCTGGTTGAATCTGTGGATGTGGAACCCGTGGATACAGAGGGCTGTCTGTAATTTGTTGTCCAAACCAGGACACTTGAGAGTGAAAAGAGATGCCATTAATATTATTCTGAAACAGAAGACCTAAATTGGGACTGTCCCAAATAATCTAGGATATATGTCATCCAACTTCAAAGGAAGTCACAGGAAGGAGGTGGGAAACAAGGACTGTGACATCATCTTCTCCTGGGAGCCCAAGCACTTAACCAGCCACTACTAGCAAAGAGGCTCTGCAATAAAGAGCACAGTGTGAACTGGAATTCAGACAGCGGAAAGTTAGGACTAAATATACATATATGTGTTTGTGGAGGTGTGCACACGCATGCACATGAACCAAGGGGTAGATCTGATGTGACCACAATGAAAAAAATAACCAACAAGATGACAAGTTGACAGTGCCCTTCCATAGCCCCAGCGAAGCCTCTTGCATGTAGGGAAGGGATTCAGAAGAGTCTAAAGACTCTTTGTGAAATAGACTCCCTGCCAGCCACGCCTCCTCTGTGGCCAAAACCCCTGTGGATGTCCACAGGAGAGCCAGGCCCGTTCACTGACCTGATACTGCAGGAAGGTAGAGTGATTCGTGAACACTGGTGGAGGTGGATAGTTCAGGTTGAGCCAGAGTGGCTGGTTCAGGGTTGCTGAGGTCAAGGCTGTAGCAAAGTGTGGAGTGAAAACATTCCCTGTGTACTTCGGGTTGTTCTTGTCAGCAACCGTCACAGGTGCGTTAACTGCAAGTCACAGGAGAGGTAAAGCGGGTCAGTAATGGAGGCAGGGAAAGGCCAGGACACCTTCAGCATCACAACTTCCCTGGGGATTCGCAGTCTCACAGGTCAGGTCCTTTAAGCTCCAAGAGGGTTCTTCAAAGTCCTAGTACATTTCCAACTATAGGTAAACATCATTAGTTCACACCTTGCCAATTTGGAAGGGATGAAAATCCCAGAAGGTCTGGCTTGGAGCTTTTCTTTCCATCATTCACTAGTAAAGAAGGCAGTTTAGCAAGGGAATACAATAAGCCAGATTGCTAGGGCTATATTTCACCTACTTACAAAATGAAATTCTTTCAACTGCTTTGGAAAAATCCAACTTTATGTGAACCACTGCTATGCCATTGGAATTCATCCTTATCAAATGATTAAAGCAGCCCTCCCTAAGGACATATATTTGGCAACACTAAGAAACTTTCACAGGTTGTTGTATCTATATGGGAATTAAAAAATATATATTTTAAAACATTAAATAATTCAGCATGCAGTGAATCAAAATTGGTTTAAATGAATGAAGTTAGGCTGAGTTGTTTCAAGATAAGAATCCTGGCTTCTTCCTTTCTACAAGATGTTGTAGGGGGTTATAAAACCAGAAATGGGTCCTCAGTTTCCCCCTTATTGGCATCCTTTTGGGAAAAGAGGTTTGATGAGAACACTTATAGGAAGAGAAAGCAGGAACATAATCTCAATGCAGAAGTAATCTACAGCAAGGATTTTTTGTTTTGGCTTGGGCAATTTGAGAGGATATAATACATGCTGGGTCAGGGCTATATTCAGAAGTGACCATTAATAATGCTGATGTGACCCTCGAAAGCCAACCACATTTCTCTAGCAACTGTATTCCCAACAAGGGATATAGGGAGAAAGTTACTGCCCCCATTTTATGGGTTTAAAAACTGACACCTCTAGAAAGGCCGTAAATTGCCTATAGATAAGACAGCCACTTGGTGACAGAGCCACCCTGAAGCCTGTGAGGGTCGCTGCAACCCCCCCTCCCCTCCAGTCCCTCCCTGGGTAGGTCAGCTCACATTTCAGCTCTGGCCCATCCACTTCTACTTTGTTTCGAAGTCTCGGCTGCCCACTTGGGTTCTTGGTGGCCCCAAGGAACTCATAGAGCAAGTTCTTCTCAGCTGGACATGCAGGTTTCTTGGGCGGCAGGGTCAGTGATGCGGTGCCCACTGGGTCACAGCAACCCTCCTCACCACAGGTGTCCTTCTGGCTCTGGGGCCACTGACTGAGAAAGAGGCTCTCTTGACCCTTTGTTGGCTCCTTGGTGCCAGGGCTCCATTCTATAGCAGGAGAGAAGCTGAGTCAATGCCTCTGGAAGGCCAAGTGCTGGATGCCAGAAGCACCTTTCTGTGGACTAAATGATGAATCCTCTGGAGCACACACCTAAGGCTTGGACCACTCTGGGGGACTCTGTTTCGGCCAAATACAATCCCAATCTCTCCCTGAAACCCTCCCTGGCCCCCGCCCATTCTGATCCCCCAATCTCATGCATCCATCAATCCATCCATCTGTTCATTCATCCACCCATCTGTCCATCATCTTTGCCTTTCTTCCTTCTATCCATCTACTTATTCATCCACCATCTGTCCATCCATTTGACTGTCTATCCATCTTTATCTTCCTACCTTCCTTCCATCCATCCACTCCTTTATCCTTCCTTCTATCATTCCTTTATTTGAATTACCTTTCTTTTCTTTCCTCTCCTTCCACCCTTCCTTCCTTCCACCCTTCCTTCACTCCAACCATCCATAGTGCCAGGCTGAGAATACAAGGATATTGTGGACACAGTTCCTGCTTTCAGTGAGCACATGGCTTAGTGAGGGAGTCACACATTCCTACAAAACATGTGGTCTGAGCCACACACTTTGGTCTCTCATCCTGAATTCTACTTTCTTTTTATTACTCACAGGTGATTCAGCTCACTTCTCAGTGCCAGGCCTTGACCTGAGTGCTGGGGACACAGTTGTGAGTCAGAGCCAGACTGTGCCCTGCAGGAGCTCATAACAAGGAAAAAAAGAGACACATTCCCAGAAATAGCCCCAGGACAAGGCAGATGAACACCACGAGGTGGCAGAGGGAAGAAATGGAGAACAGGGTGGCTGAGACTGCTTCTGTCTGAGAAGGTTCCTTCCAGAAGGAAGTAAGGTTGCAGCAAGGCCTTATATCCAGGGGTACTGGGGAGGAAGGCATGACAGGCATGGATAACTGTGGGCAAAGGCCTGGAAGCATCAAGGAGACATTGTGAGTCATTGGATATGGCTGGAGTGTGGAGCAGGGACAAGATTGGTGGCAGACCCAGGTCTCTCACTAAAGAGACTGAGCATTTATTCTCCCAATGCAGACATACTTTGGGGACCATCACAGGATCCTCCACAGCAGTGGTGGGAAACCTGGCCACCCACTGGATGGCTATGCACTGCACTGCCCAACAGCAGGCACCGGGATCTCTCTGGATGCCAGAAAGGACCTGTGCCTTAGTGTTACCTGTTGATAATAATAGACCTGATCCCACCAGCTTTTGGCCCCCTAGCCCAGAAGCTTGGGGGCTGAGCTTGGGGGTGAAGGCTGTCTTCCTAGCCCCATTCCAGCAAAGAGCTGCTCTAGCCTGAGCCAATTTAGGAGGAAACAACATTTTTAGCAAAACATTCCTAGAGTCTTTTCCAGGAGTTCCCCCGGTTGCTGAATTCAGCCCCTAGCCAGTGAGCTGAAATAACAGTACCCACTAGTAATAGCCCTTTCCCCAGAGACATACACACCTGCAGCTTCCCACTCATATTTACAGGTGCCTTAGACATCTACAAAGCTCCCTCTTCCAAGGTCTGGACCCACAGACACATACACATTCCTATCTGTTGTTCCTTTGACTTAGTGACATGTACACAACTACACACGTGACAGACACATGCACAAATGTGTACACAGACATGCTTAGATACACCACTCCTGCATTTTCTCTAAGAAATACACTCAAACCTTCAAAACTCCTTTTGGCATACTTTTGCCCACACATTCGTACACACAGCAAGTGGTGGGTGGGGTGGGTGGGACAGAACTACCTCCAATCCAGCAGCCCCATCCAACAGGGAGGTATCTATGGGTCCCTCCTGGAGAATAGGTAGGAGGAAGGTCTCCCCTCTGGGAAGAGCTCAACCATCTCTCTCCTACAGCTCCTCATCCTAAAGCCCTCTGGCTCCTAGAAACCTGTCCAGGACCCAGAGTTCAGCTTGCTATCCACAGCTCTGATTCCTTGGCCTTCCTGCAGTGCTCCAGGACACAGAATGTTCAGGATGACTTTGCTCTTATTTTCTCAGGTAGATGAATTTGGACCCTCCCGATACAGGTGTATCTCAGTTATCCATCCATGCTCATAGCCCAGAAGGAATTGTTCTTTTGGCTAACATGAGTATGATCACTCTCTTAGTGACTGCTGACTCTAGGCAATGGCCATGGCCATCAGCCTACCTTCTTGGAACCATATAGTCTGACTGGTTAGATTAGAACAACACACAGAATCCTGGGCATAAAGTAGGAGAAGATTGGGAGGTGGCTGGCTTTCCTGGGAAGAATGTGAGCTCCTCAGTAAAGTAAGTCCCAGGAAACAGATCCCAGAGTCAACAGTCTGCACTGTGTCTGGATAATTTACACATATCCCCCCTACCCCAGAGAGGGAGGACCAGGCCTCATGTCCAGAAAAGGTGCCTCCATGAGATAGATGCCAAATGACCCCAGCTACTAATCAAATTTCTCTTCTATACATCTTGGCATCCCCATGCTTCAGTTTTGCCCTGAACCCAGCTGGGGTAAACACTTCCTTCAATGTATTCTGGATACCTGTTTGATTCCAAAGTTAATCCAGTTACTACATGGTGCCTATTTCTCTTCTCAAAGTATGTTGAGATCAGGGACTCTGGGTTTGCTTACAAAAGCTGTGCCCTGCACAGGGTCACCCAGCAAAAGAAGCCTGTGGAGGTTGGAAACAGCCTTTCCCTCGGGGCTGTGCCCACCAGAGAGGCTGCTTTGTCCTGCTTTTGCACAAAGATGCTTTATGTACATGCTGCAGCCCTGATTGGCTTCCTGGGAAGGACCTCCTCCTTGCAGGCCCACTCTACCCCAGTTCCAGCTCCACTTACCCATCAAGTGGTGCCTCTCCACAGCAGGGTCAGCCTCGGGCTTGGAACAGATCTTGGCAAACACTGGGAGCTGCCTCTTCTGAGCAGGGAGCTCAGGGAGCTTGTCAGGGGGTGCAGGAGGAGGTGGGGGAGGCAGCAGCAGAAATGGGCTCAGCCCTGTGGGCTCCTTGGCTTCAGGGCCTCCGAACAGGTTGTCCTGTAGGAAGTCCTTGGTGACTCTTGTCTCGTTCAGCACCCTCTTGTTGTCGGGGGCCTTGGATGTCTCAATGGACTTCAGTGGGAACTGGGACAGAAGCTTGCTGACCTCCAAGTTGGAGTCACCCAGGATGTGGCCCCTGTCCTCTGTCCCCTTGCTGCTCTTGACCTTGGCGGCACGCAGAATGTCTGTGACAGTAGACGTGGCAGAATCACAGTCCTGCCTGCTGCTGATAATGGGCATGGCCACCTTCTGCTTCAGAAGCTTGTCTCCGACAATCATGGAGGCTCTGGGGCGCTCATTACTGCCTGCCGCTAGAGGAGGGGTAAGAATGCAGGAAGCCAGCTCTCTGGTCCCCTCAGGAGAGCTGCCTGGTGCCTCCAGCTCCCCAGAACTCTCTTCGACCAAGATTGAGTGCTCTTTAGTGAGGCTCAGGAACTCCTGTTCCACCAACAAGGAGATCTCATCTTTGCCACTGCTGAGCTCCAGAGCTCTGGAAATGGGTCAGAGAGACAGACGGTGTTAGTGCCAGCTCACCAAGGCATGGCTCTGCAGAAGGACATAGGCCCCAGAAAACGGAGATGGATGCATAACATGACAAAAACACACTTCCAGGTAAGAGAACCCAGCGCACACAGTGGACCCCTAGAGGGTCCTATACCACAGTGGTGGGATGCAGTACTGAGAACATGGTTTTGAAAAATGGGGAAACCTGGATCCTCTCCCAACAACCTTGCTGAGTGAGCTGGGGCAAGTCACAGCCTCACTGAGCCTTAATTCTAGTCCATTCCTCCTTGTTCTTCATGCTCAGGACCTGAAGCAATGAAAGACCAGAGAAGGGGTTCACTGGCAAATTTTACCCAGCAGCCAAGGTGTCAGGAGCAAGCCAACAGCTCTAAGTGCAGAGTCTAGGGTGCTGGGGCTGAGCCCTGGGAAGCCCACAGGAGCGTAGCGCAGCCCCCATCACCTCACTGCAGAATGGTGGAGTGGATAGCCTGAGCTTACACCCTGACCCAGTCACTTCCCATCGGTATGACCCTGGGGAGATTGTTCAGCATCTTGGTATTCTGTCTCCTCCTCTCATTACTAGGAGTATCATAGAGGTGCAAAGCACTTTGAATGGTGTCTGGCATAGAGT